ATGGAATTTTACAGTTGTGATGCAAATTTTTGATTTGATATGCTTTTTCTCTGACATTATTTCCATTGTTGCATTGTTGTTAAATTTGTGCAGTTTGATAATCTATTTGAGTAAAATTAAGTTTTCTGTTTTTGTCTTGCATGTGTCATAAAAAATTCTTAAATGTAAAGCCATTAAAAAATGTAGAATTCATAATCTAATGCCTTATCGCGTCTGTTGGTGTTTTAATGAAAAAGTCCATTTTCACGTTAAAATGTCATTCAGTGGAAATCTTATTGCAAATACTTGCATCTTTGTTTATGTGATGTAACTGATGGCAAAATTTACAAATTAGATCAAAAATTTAAATGCAGCACCTGTTCAACTGGGTATAATGAACTGGTAATAAATAAATCATTTTACCATTCATGCGTTAAACCACTGTGAATAATTAAGAAAGAGTATCCATTTTCGAAATTCAGTGTGTGCAAAATGTAGTAAAAATGAAAAATTAATAAGAATTCACATCTCTGAGTGCATCATCTTCAGGGTGTTGTCGTATCAAAAGAAGTAAATGGATCCCTCTGTTTCTGAACTAATGGTGATGCAAATTTACTAATTTTAAAACATACTAAACTAAAAACAATTTGTGTTTACATCAGACCAACCCATATAGGCTGGAAAGAGCAAGACACTTTGCCTAAATTCATACAAACTTACAGTCTGTTGTAATCCATAATTGCAGAAAAAGTATCAAAACTACCCATTTGATTTAAATAAATGTAATACGAAATCAATCAAACAGAAAACAAATTAAATAAGCATAAAAACACCAAAAAAATACTAAAATGATCAAATCAAAACAGACATCCATTTATTTCTGTTCCCCTGAAGATTATGTACGAAGAGATTTAAATTCTTCCTATTTTATCTTTGCATTCTGCACATAATGAATTTAATGAATGAAATATTGAATTTCAAAGCCGGGCACTTTTTCTCAAGTATTCATTAGGGTTATTTGTCAAAATGTGATATCTATTGGGTTTGAATTTTTTATCCAGTTTATTAAAATATATATGGTAATTTCAGGTAGATTAGCCACCCTGGCATGTATGCTGCACACATGATAGTTGACCAAAAAAAATTTTTTTTAATTCATCAGATACACCATTGCAGAGCATTCTGAAACATTGCACTTAATATTCATTTAATCTGTATTTCTTCTCCACATTGATATAATCATTTATAATGTTAAGAACATAAAAAGTAATTTGTAAATAAATAAAAAATAAACATACCTTGAACTTGACAAAAATGAACTGTGCTGATTTCCAATAGTCATTATCTTTATGAGTTGAGTAAACTTTGCTTAGCACCACAAATTACCTTTTTATAAAAAGGAAATATTTAAGTTTGGTAATCAGGCAGTATTCTATAATTAAAATAAACTACATTTATGTATTAAAAACCTTCAAAATACGACTCGTTGGTGTCAGAATTAAATAAACTTAACAAATCAACATCAGGTCACTGTCATGTATTCTAAATCACTTCTTTCAATTCTACCAGCTATCCTATCATGTGGTGTTGCATTCCTAAGCTTTGCAAATAATTTTACTGGTAGCAGTGCAAAGCAAATGATAGCATTTCAGAAGGGTGCATGTATATGCCCGGGGCAGTTAACACATCGGCTAAGTAGGGCGTTTATATACGCCTGCGGCATTTAAGGGGTTAAAACATATAAGCGGCTTATTTACATGAAATTATAGTGTATAACATAAAACAATAAAAAACTGCAGAAAAGATGTAAATATTTCTAATACGTCATTATATCATTCCTTCAGCTTCCTGAAGTATTAGTTCTTATCTTTGAATATATGACCCTAAATTATCTATGTGGTAATATAGGTTCAAACCCCAGGCAAATGGGCTGCCTACATGATTGATTTTTTGGGGTTTTCCCCATGTATAACATGAATATGAGCTAGTGTCTCCTAGAAAGCCCTCTACAAAAGCATCCTTCCTCTTAGGCATATAGCCCTTCTGTGCTTTACCATATTCAAATATCCTAAACCTCCTGCAATGACAGCCACAGTGTGATGAAAATGCTATTTTTACATAATTCTTTCTTTGGGTATAATATTTTTCATTGCTCTTTTAGGTATATGGATATTTTTTGTACTCTTTATCAAGTGTTATTGATTTTTCATTCAAATTTTAATATAATTAATATTTTTGAAAATAGTAGGTATGAACAGGCAACTGCACCTCAGAGCCCTATGATTAGGCCTCCTGCACCATCCAGTTCTGTGATAGGTCCATCCCCACAGCAGGATCCTACACCATACCAGTCACATCGTTATCCTAGCCAACCAATGGCTACAAGAGAAAACATACCTCCACAGCAGATTGGTTCATACCAAGGACGTCCTCCTGTAGGTCCTTCTCAATATCCTGGTCCTAATACTCAAACATCTGGTCAATCTCCTTACCCTGCAGCTCAGCCTGAATCTTACAGAAACCCTGAATTTCAGGTAAACATTGTCTTCCTTTTATTTTTGGTTTCTGTGGTTGAAAATTTTTCCTTCCCAATTTATTATACTGAATATGTTTTAATGTGCTTAATTTCTTGTTCTGGTTAAAAGAGTAATGTAATTAATTATATAAATATCAGATCGTAAATGTTAATACATATTTAATGTACTAGCTTAAAATTTGGCCGTAAGTATTATAAAGTGAGGATAAATTTTACCGGATAAACATATCATCTACTAATATGTGTGCTAAGGGTTTTTGAACAATTGTTAATCTATTTATAATTTCATGAATAGAACATTTTCTGTGGTATTTCTGGGAATTTTGTGTAAACCAGTAGGTTGACTGATATTGATACTGAATAAATACTGATAGTATTTATTTTCCTTATACTAGAATTATATAAAGCCCACACAACTGGAATTATACACAGAATTTGTGTGTTCCAAAACACATCTGTGACTTTACGATTTCTCTTAGCAGTTACCAGTAATTACCAATAACAATTTAGTGTGCTACACCAATTTATAAAGCTTATTTTTTTAAACATATAAATATTTATAGCATACTTTTATTAGACTTGGCCTGCTAAAAATTTTTGAGGTGAAAATACCGTACATAATAAACTTGTATGACATTTATAGGCTGACTGTCGGTATTTATTTACCTTACACTAAAATTATATGAAACCCACACGGCTGGAATTTTGAGTATAATTACACAGAATTTCTGTATTCTCAAATACATCTGTGACTGTACAATTTAGTGCATCTGTATGTATGTAAAATAAAGCATTACTTAATTTGTATTCATTTATTTATATTTTTATTAACGAATTAATATTGCAGTAATGAATTTTTGTATATTAACTTTAATTTTTGCACTTGTATCAAAATTTTATTCTTTGGCATTAATTACCTGTATATATATATATCTATATGTGTATATATATTTTTGGGTGGGAATAAATTTGGAAATTGAACATTTTAGAAATTTGAAAATTTGGAAAATAAACATTTATAGCATCTAAGTTGTGTTAAAAAAAAAGTCTTAGTTAGCCCATTTATTCACAGCCTCAGATGTCACGTTTGCAGTCGACTCTTATTCAGAGGCTTCTACCTAAGAACCAAACAACTCAAGTAGGTTTCAAATAATCACTATTGCGTTCATAATGCTGTTTAATCCTTACGTCTGTCCAAACTATGTATACTTATTCTAATGCTATTAACAAAGCCTACCGCTACTAATTCTTTATAGAATTTTTTTGCCATTTTGAACTTAAGTATTGGCAACTTCAGAAGCACAAAGGTTATTCTTCTTTTATTTATTTATTTATTTTTTCAATACAAAATGAGCTGTGTTATTATGAAAACAAAACAAGGGAAACTGTTTAGATACTGGAAAATCTTTTATTATTTTAATTTTTATATATATGTTTATTTCCACTGTGTGTTATTATAGTCAGTATATATCAGGGAATTAAGGGATTGTAAGAATGACACTAAATAAATTTTTAAGTATTAAATGTATTTATTAAATGACACATATGAATGGGATTATTTTAAATTTTACCTAGCAAGTTTTTTTTAATTAAATAAGATTCCTTCAGAAATATTTATAAATACTTCATTTTTAATAACCTTTTGGGATGGGTGTGTCGTACAAAAAGCATGGTGTGTCATATATGAATGGTAATTTGATTCTACCAGTTATGAATTTTCAAGTAGAACATTTAGTTACTAATTTTTGTTGTCACTAGACATAGTCCTGTGTCTGATGACTGGAGAATATTGACCTTCATTATGTTGCTTTTTTTTTTTTTTTTTTTTTTTGTGTGTGTGTGTGTGTGTCTTTTCTGTTAGAATGAAAGCTAGAATCACAGGGATGAGTAATGTTGGCTGATATAAACACATGCACCTGGTCTCGATGCATCTGAATTCTTTTGTTTTTGGCAATATGGGGTACAGTGATTTTAGAGGTTTTATTCATTCCTTTTAGAGCCAGGCTAGCCTTGAGATGAATATTTTGTGTATTGTTTACCAAAACATTACACGCCAAATGGCAAAATAAAAAGATTATTAAACGGAAGAAGAGTGTACAATTATGATGAATGAGTCATTTTTAGACATTAATGATGATTATATTTCTAAAAAATCACAAAGGGTTATTTATAGTGATTCTAATAATATTATCAGATAAAGAAATCACAGCATGTTTGCCTTCTACATCTCAAGACTGTGCCTCATTGGACACATTTTGTTCTAAAACTTGAAAACTTTTGGTTTTATAGTAGCACCAAATATTAATACTTGAAATGCTATAAAAGAAAAGTTTTCCTTTTTTTCTTTTGGGGGGAGGATTGTAAGAGAAATGAACAACTTTGCTCGAAATCATCTTAGATTTGCCAAATCTTCTTCAATATCGTTGAAGTTTTCAGATGTGACACCAGAGCAAATGAAAGCTTTTTGGTTTGATTATCTTAAATCGGAATATTCAAACAGCCTAATCTACTTCTTGAAATATTGCTTTCCTTTTGTTGTTTTAATGCTTTTTTATTATTATTAAAGAATAATAATTTTTATTAATGAAATAAAATCTCTGATTATTTGGATATTTTTTCATATATATTTATTTGAGGAATGTCAAAAGTTTTATTATTTATAGAAGTTTTAAGGAAAATATAATGATAAAGTTTTAAAATTAATTCTGACAACTACCTTAGTATTCCTTTCACAATGTTCCAAAGTTAGGCTTAGCAATGCAAATTGCTTGTCACCAAAAGACAAGGCATCCTGTTAGAGCACTGTCCTAAGAAAGCAGGTTAGTGACTGAAGCATCCGTCGTGAAAGGTTTATAGTAGTGATGAATACTTTTAAGTGCTGTGTCATTATTAATATTTCATAAATGTTCATTAAATTTATATTTAGAGTTTGTGTTTTCTCATATAACAAAATCACTAATAGTTCACTCGTTGTATGTAAACATAACTATAAAAAGTCTTTCAATGTTACAAATTTATAAGAGTGAGGCAATCTGAGGAGAAAGGAAAAAAAGATTGCTGTTTTCATTGCACAAAGTGTACTGAATTTCTTTATTGACACTGCTGCCAAATAAAGGTTTATTTTTATCGATTTTTAATATCCAATTACCATGTAATTTTACAATATTGAAGTAAAATCATCTTCTTTTGAAATGTGAGTTCTGTATGAGATGCCAACAAAACATTTGGAAATCAAAGTATGTACTTGAAAATATTAGAAAGTATTCAGAATCTTAAAGCAAACCATTTTTAGGGACCCAGAGAATTTGCTGTTTTTGATTGTATGTATAATGTACTCCAAATGATTAAAACATAGGAAAAGCTTCAATGCATTAGTTAGTGTGCCCCCCCCAGATGATTTGAATTTGGTTCTGTCAAATGTATTCATGGGTACAAATTCTATCTGTGTTAATCCAGATTCTATCTGTATTTCCAGCATTAATTATATGTAGCTCAATACATGAATTATTTATTGCGTAAGTTATGCAGAATAATTTCATTCCTTAAAGAAGAGGAACCTGTTCATAATTTTTAAACATTCAGAACCGTTTTGTAAGATAGTAAAGTTTAATATAGTGAATATTTTGTATTTAATCACAGGATCAATCCTTTTAATGAGGAAAAACATCTTGAAAATTTAGTGAGAGAAGCAGATCTGTTTTCATAATTTATTTCAAGTATCAGTTAAATTGAAATTATTAAAAAAATTCTAGTAGTTATGGTTAATATCTAAGTATTTAAATCATATGCCTTCTGTTTTCAGCATTTAATTTTAACTTACATTATAAATACATAAAGCTGATGTTTTAGTTACAGATTTTACTCATAGAATGCAAGTAGTTTTGTGTAATTTTACGCAGTTTTATGTCATTTTTGTTTATTCTGTGAATTATCTGTATTGAGTATTGGTAGCATTAGTACCAAAGTATATTTTTAAATTATGGTAAATATTAAAAAAGTTGTTAAGATTTTTATACATATTAATAGAGACACAGCTCAATACTTTCTGCTGTTTCATGGCTTTTGGAAAAATTCAGTCCTTTGTGTTGTTATATTGATAATGTGTTTTAAATCAGGAAAGCCAACTAGCCAATGAGAGTTGCCAAACAATATGTAACTACCTTTTACATGTCATTTTTCATGGTATTTGTAAAATATTTCCTTAAAAATATATGATAACTAAGTTGTGCAGATTCGCTTATCAAGAATCGTGCAAAACCATTTTCAGTCCCCTGCTCTTCTTTAAAATGTTGGCTATCCTGATATAAAACAGTGTGTTGCCAGCACTTATGCATGCAGATTTTTAATGTAGCTTTCTAAAATAGCTTCCTTCAATCTAATGCTTTTGAAATATTTTAATCTCTTCTATTTTGGGTGCATATAACTGTGCTTTGTAATGGTGTAAATTTATAATATTTAGATTTTTATTCTCTGTACCTTTTTAAGAGATTGTCTGTAAAGTTATATATACCGTATTTGACGGCATATAAGGCGCCCTTTTTTATCCTAAATTTGGTCTCAGAAAAGTTACCTGCGTATTATAAGTGAAGGACACAGGTTAACTTTCAATACTGAATGCTATTTTTAGCCCGGATAAAGGTCTAGACACACATAACTTTTTCTACATCTGCCATAATGCCATGAATGAGCCATTTAAGGAAAAAGTGCAAGAACGATGGAACAAGAGGATAGGAGAGCCACATCACGCCCTTACACTCTCAAGTAGAATGAAGCGGCCCTCTATTTCACAAGTGTGCGAGTGAATAAAAAGATCTTGGGAGGACGTAAAGGCTGAAGTAATTAAGTCCTTTAAGATATGCGGAATCAGTAATGCTCTTGATGGAACAGAAGATACTAGCGATGACAGAAACAGTATGACGATATTCTCGTTTCGATGATGATATATAGTGAAAAGGATTTTTATGGTTTTGAAAGTAATTAAAGTCTAATTTCATAAAGGCAGTTTTCGTGAATCTGTTTTTTGTTGTTTCTGCTTTATTTGTATTATGTTTGATTGCTTGCTGTTCATTCATTTATTCATTATTGAATTTAATATCATGTTCAAAAGCTAGCTTGATGTTGTGTAATTTTCTTTATAACTTTTTGGGGGGGGGGGGGGGGGGGGGGGGGGGGGGGGGGGGGGGGGGGGGGGGGGGGGGGGGGGGGGCCCTTATTTGGCTTTTACGAAATGTGAGAACTAAAAGAAACCATATTTTTCGTGCGGACTATTAAACTTTTTTTCCTTGTGTGTGGCCTTCTATATAAGGGTGTGTCTTATATGCCGTCAAATACGGTAATTAATGAATTTTTCATTGACCTTTTTATTTTTCTCTCCTTTCAAATGGCTGACAATTTTTTTTATAATTAGATTTTTCTTTAATGTAATAATTTTTTAAAATAGCTTTTTGATTGAATTTTTTATTACATTATAGTTCACAAAAAGGTGCATGATTAAACATTCAAATTCCTTGCATTGCTTATATTTCATATCTTTAAACAGTTTTTTAAATTATCAAAGTAACTTAGCATGTTCTGTAATTATTATATGGGTTAGAGACTGTTTATTTATCTTGTAGTATTTTTATAGAGTTGTATAATTAATGATTGTTCTTATTAATGCCTCTTTTTTTCTGATATAGAATTATCCTTCATCTCAGCAAGCTATGTATGGTCAGAATATGCCACCTCCAAATAAAGTAGCTCCACCTAGTAGTATACCTGGAAATTTATATCAACGTGATATGTATGGTATGGGCCCTAAGCGTCATGGGGATTACTCTAAAACGCATGGTCCAGTTCAAGATCAGTATCATATGGGCAATTACCCTCAACAGCAATCTCAGGGACCATATACAGGTAAAGTGCATTTTGTATGCACGAAAAAATTTATTCTTAAATTCTTTTTGTGATAATTCTGTGTATGTATAAAAAAATAATAATAATAATTGTAAACAATCACTAGATGAGCAGCTATTTAATTCAAACAGAATTTCTGAAAGTTGAAATACATGATAGTAATATTCCTTTTAAAATAATATATAAATTGATAATCATCAGATTAATGTTTATACTGTAATAAATTATTTATTAGTATGTCTATTTGTTGATTTCAAATGAATCAAAGTGTTCCTTAGTTTCTGATTTAAGAAATACTTTCACTAATTTTAAATTAAGAAGTATATATAAAAGCAAATATACTAATATATATATATATATATGTTAGTATACTTGATAATGATTATATAATGTTACGAAATGTATAGGCACAGTAAGATAGCATCCCTGCAAAGCAGTTTTAGGGTTGCCATAAAATGGTAAGGGAAGGCAGAGTTGCCACATTTGGCGAGAAATCGTCCGTTTAGCGACAAAATTGGCAATATACCATGGATGGGTGGAGAACCTCCTGGAACAAATTCTTACCAGTTTAGCCTAGAATGTTCTCAAACACAAGCCGAAAGCTATATTATGTATCTCGCATAACTCGAAAATGAGTAGCCTCAGAACGTTGAAATTTTGTATATAAGACTACTATAATGTGTAGATGTGCACTCGTATTTGGTTGAAATCGGCCGCGCCAAAGATATAAATTATTATAATATATCCACTCTGTTACCGGCTCGGTGATCTCAGTTTCTTTACTCTTATATGTTTGTAATTGTACATTTTTGCTTTAAAAAATGATTGAATTATGTGTTTTTTCTTCGGTTAAGGTTTATGCCTTTAGTTATTCTTATGCAATATTTTAGAATTATCAACAATTTTAAAATTGTTTAAGTCCGCTAAGCCTAATTGATTGCGGCCATTGCTCTTGTTTACATTTGAAACAGCTGAGTAGCGGATTGTTGCCAATGTAGAGAAATTAGCTTTGCAACAACAAAGATAATGCCTCATTTATATTAAATCATGCTTAATCCTTTCTGATTTTTCAAGGAAAAGCGTTTAAGATTTACTTTGTAATTTTTAATACAGATATTTTGAGTTTTTATGTATTTTTGCCTTGTCACAAAGTGAAAACTGAATTAATTGAATGAGAAGGATTACTGAATTAATTGAATGAATATAAGATGCTAAAGGTTAAAAGATTCTGTAATATAGAAAAATGATAGAATTAAATAGACTTGCCAACATAAAATTCAGGGATATCTATAACTCTTCTCCTTTTCAACATATCTTGTCTTTCAAGTTTCTCTCTTCTCTTATGCCGGTGTTCAAATTTTAGATCAGGCAAAAATTCAGGATAAACATATCTAGAATACGGGGGAAAATTACACATTTTTTCTCAGTAAAATACAACTGAATTCATTTATGATCTTTAAGTTGGAAAATATTTTTTTAACCAATTTCCATACAAATTTTTTTTGGAAAAAAAAAAAATGCAAAAAATCATCACATTTTTAAAAATTTTATTATTAAATACAAGGAAACAAAACAAAATATGTAGGTTTTAAGTTGAATTTTAAATTCTTTACAGGTGTAAAAGCATTTAATTTTAATGTTAGTTTACTATCCGAGGTAAAAAAGTTAAATATTAGTTTGTATGATAGTTTTTGAAACAAGGGACAACACAAAGTGATACCTGACAGTCTGTATACTGGTATCTGGTCTTTTTACTTCCTTGTACGAAGTAAAAAGGAAGTATTGTAATCTCGAAAAGTTTCAAGCAGCATATTTCAACGAAAAATTCCATTTTGACCGTTATCGAATGCAATTAGATGTTTTGTGTGATATCTGTACGTAGGCAGAATAAAAATGCTTTCCTCCCAAAAAAATTAAAACTGCTTTAAATGAACTGAAGATAATTTTTTGTGGCCTCTGTACGAAAATGTACATATGTACATATCTCGCATAGCTCAAACGAGTAGCCTCAGAATGTTGAAATTTTATATATAGGACTGCTAAACATGTAGATGTGCACCTCGTATTTGGTTGCAAATCGGCCGCACAAACGTATATTTATATATTATCCACTCTTTACCCGGCTCAGGGATCTCAGTTCGTACTCTTATATGTTTGTAAATTGTAAATTTTTGCTTTAAAATGATTGAATTATGTTGTTCTACCTTCCGGTTTAAGGTTTAGCCTTTAATAAATCTGTAGCAATATTTTAGAGTTATCAAAGTTTCAAAGTGTTTAGGCTTCAAGCCTAATAATTTTTTTTGATGCTTGTTTACATTTGAAACAGAGGATAGTGGATTTGTTGCCAATTAGAGAAAATTAGCTTCGCAACAACAAAGATAACACCTCATTATTATTAAATCAGCTAATCCTTTGGAATTTTTTCGAAGAAATAAGTGTTTAAGATTTACTTCGTAATTTTAATAAATATTTTGAGTTATTATGTTTTTTGCCTTGTCGCGAAGTTAAAACTGAATTAATTGAATACAAATATGAATCGTTGTGAAAAACTGTTCTTTTCTGTTTTTGTTGGCTTAATTTCTTATACATCGTTTAGCTTTATTAGTATTGAATAGAAACATGTGGCAAAGATAATAATTCTTAAATGATAAAATTTGTGCATTCTGAGTTATAACATGAACGAAATATAATACTGTTAAGTAAACCTAGTGCCAGAGATTCGCTATGGTAAACTAAGTGAGTTTTAAAGAATGCATTTATTCTATTGTGGTTTATGCGCTGTCAGCGGAGTAGGTTTAATTCAATCTAATAAATTTAAATAAAATGCAAGAAAAAATGTGTATAATTTAATATTCCGTACAAGGAAGTCGTGTGGTGTACACAACAGATTTTTGTTGTTTATATAAGACTACTATATAAACAACTATATACTACTATATACTTCTGAATTAGTATTTGTTCAGCATGTTGTGTCTTAATTAATGGATTGCTGAGTTAAATGTATTTAATTCATGGAAAAAACTGAATGTAGAAGACTGAGAAAATAATTTTAAACACTTTTCTTGTACAGTGTGGTAGATTTCAAACTTACTGAATATCCCCTATGTACTAGATTTTTTTAAGAAATAGCAGAACCTTATGGGAAAAAAATTAACAAATATCACTTTCAATATGCTAGCCAATTTTAATAGCTTATGTTTTGATTAAATAAGAAAATTTCATTAGACAAGAAATAGAAGCACATAGTTTAGCTGTATTTATTCATCTTTAACTATGTAAGAGAAAGATTTTTCAATTCTGGATTTCTTTTTAATAATTTATTTATATATAATCATATAAATCAAATGTTACAAAATGTGGCGATAGGTTTTGTGCATTTCCCTCATTATCTTCTTTAAATCGTGGTTAATTTATGAATATTTTCTGTAATTTATTTTTGTATATAACTTATATCTGTTAATGTTGCACAAATATTTTTGTAAGCTTTCTTGCGTGTGATTAAAATACTTAAGCGTACAAAGATTTAATGTTTTCTTACATACGATGTATGTACATTCACCTAATCGTAATTACATTAATAGTTCATTTTCACATCTGCTTCTTCTTGCTTTGATATTTGTAATCTGTATTGTGCTCTAATTATACTGCAGTAACGTATTCCAATAACTTTAAAAATTTAGCATTTTACATAAATGTAAGATTATTATTTTTTTAAAAGCACATTGCTGATTTAATTTTCTCTCTTAAAGGACTGAGCCCATAACAAATAATGTTATAGAATAAAGGTTGGAACTCATTTGTTATATGCACAATATATTAAATTGTAGTTAAAAACATTTAAATGTAATTACTTCCTATTTGATACATAAACTTGGTTGTCTTAAATTCTGTGTATATGATGTATTATGGTATTGTTATATGCAACTGCAATTTTTTTGTTGAAAATTTCAGATCGTAGTCAGTACCCATACCGTCCCTCTCATAGTGTTCCCCCACCCACACCTGGTGGGCCTCCTCAACAAGGTATGACATTTTTATATTGTTTCCTAAGACATTATTAAATTGCTGTTTTAAATACATTATGATTTGAATAAGTGTAATTTAATGTACAAAATTCTTATCAGTTGTAAATTCTACTCTGATTGCATTTTGGATTTCTGTAATACTAAATCAAATAGAATGATTTGCTTTTACAAGTAGAACTGTGAAAGTGTTATAAAAGTTATATGTATAATATGTGTATTTAACTAAGAATTGTGTTAAACCTATTTATATGAATTCAAGAAGTCCTAATATGTATATTGATCCTCATCCAGTTTACTTTAGAAATTCCATGTTACTGTACAATAAAATGAAAATTATTAATGTTGCGGTTATGCACAGAAATTTAATTGAAAAGAAAAAAGTTTTCATGAACAAAAAATCCTTTTTTCTATATGGTTGAAAAATTTTAATTGTAGACTAAAGGCTGAATCCTCTGAAATGTATCACCTTACCTTCAGATTGAATTTATGTCCAGATTATGTTAGCAATTATTATCCCGCATATTCAGCATTAGCTGTTTATCTGTTTTATGTACGTTAGCAGCCATTCTGTTGCCCTCATGTTTAAAGCCTTCATAATAAGTAAATTGCATTATTTTTTAAATGGAAGAATTTAACCCATTAGCCGCTGGTGTTGCATTGATGCAACGGTCAAAATAAATGCATATATAAATATAACTACCAAAGATATTTTCTACCAGCAGATGATTTTTTGTAGGGAATAATATGAAGATTACTTCTGTAAAAAAATATTTGCCTTCAACAATCAATTTGTTTATAATAATTAATCTTATACTTTAAGCAAAATTTTCGACCGGGTATTTTTGCCGAAAATATTTAACGAAAGATTCGCCGTCTTTATGAGTGATCTATTTTCAGTCAAGGTCACCGTGTATCAAAACATTACATCAATCAGATGTTTATATTTGTGTTGGGAAGGAAGGGAAAACAGGTGTTGCTCTGACGCTACAACGTCAGCAGGAAACGGGTAACCATTTTTTTTACTCTTTCCTTTCGATGTTCTGGTTCATATTCTGGCTGCTTTAAAAATGCCTATAAGGAGGTATCTTACATTAGAAGAAGCCCTTCAAAGATTATTATGATGAAGAAACAGATGATGATAATGTTAATAATGACCAGAATGAAACTGATATTGTTGTTGTTCCCCCAGAAATTTCAGAAGCTACTGAAGAAGAAGAAGGGAATGACAATTTTTTAAATAATGAAAATGATATTTTACCAAATAATATTGCTGGGAAGTTGAAATTCATGTAAGAAATAAGTTTCAGTCTTCTAAAAGCAGTGGTAGTCATAAGAAAAAGTTTAAAAAGCAGAAAACTGAAAAACTTGAAATGGATAAGAAAGGAACCCTCAGTTATGTCTCAGGAAGAAAATAAAGAAAGAGAAAAATAAAAACTATAAAAGACAAAATACAAGGTAAAATTACTGGAGAGATGTTCGATTTTCTTTCTTGTATAAACATTTACTCTCTTCTCGTTGAACAGACAAATTTATACGCTCAGCAAAAAAATATCCCAGAATTTATTGCATCTGAAGCCTATATGAGAAAATTTATTGGAATATTATATATACTGGATATTATTGTTTACCTTAAGAAAAAATGTATTGGTCACTTGATAAGGACATTTCTGCTCCCATTGTACGAGAATCGATATCATGTTTGTAGTACAGGAATACGAAGCAGAATTTGCATTTAGCTGACAAAAGCCAAATTGACAATACTGATAAATTATATAAGGTGAGACCGTATCTAAACTTACTAAATATCACGACTTTCTGCTACTGGAAATAAAAAGTGTCTTTTAGATTTCAGACAAGAGATTGCATTATTCCTTTTGCAAACTCCTATTGAGAGTGTAGAGTGCCATAGCCAGACTGTTTATAGATGCAAAGTATGTAATGTAGCTTTACGTCAAGATTGTAGTGAAGCTTTTCATGCTTGAATCTTTCAATTGAAATAATCTATCTTTGTAAAAGAAATATAATGTATATTTTAATATTAAATTGATTAAAAGTAAATTAAAAGTAAAGTGATTTATAGATTTATAAAACGCTATACAGTTAAAAAGTAATCCAGTGCTCCACTCAAAGGAAACATTGCACGAGTACAATCCTACTCACTCAACATCCGTAGTCTTATTCCACTGACGTTGCGCGAACGCAACACTTGCGTTTTCTACAGATAAGAGCATTTTTTTTTATTTTCAATGTAAATTTATGTTATAAATGCTTAATTTAATATTTGTTATTATTTTCATGAGAAAAGAATCATTCCTTGTAGTTTTGGCGGTTAATGGGTTAAGATTTGTTTAAGTTGAAATACTTTATTAGAAGCTGGTGATGAAAGAAGAAAGGTGTAAGATTCTTTTCAGTCGAAATTAGAAAGGAATTAATCAAATAGCTATTCTAAATTTTGCAGTACCTAAAATAAATAAATCCTTGTGAGTTCTGTGTATTCAAATTTTAACCTTTTTTTTTTTTTTTTTGGCTGTATAGTGTTGTAAAATATGTAAATTAATCATATGCGATAAATCCTTGCCGAAGGTTAGGATGTAATTTTGTGTATATATGTTATCTTAATCGTTTCCACTTCCAGAATAAGAATTTCATTCTTATGCCGTTCAGTGTTCATTCATCAACATTGAATGCTTACTGACACCAGCTCTGGCCAGAAGTTATGTACAGCTTTAAAGGATTTCCATCAATTGAAAGTAAGCTAAAGAAGTAATGCAAAAACAATTGATGGCAAAGGATTTTCAGGTATGGAAGAATGAGAAGTCAATAAAATAATCGAGAAATGATGAATGAAGAATTGGATAATCTTATAACAGCAGCGATAGTGAAAAAGATTAAGTGCCTTTACCTTCCAATGAGTTAAATGATTTGTTAAAAAAAAAGGCACAGGAACTGTCTGATTTTGCAGTGGAGATTGACCCAAATTAAGAAAGAGGAAAACACTTTTTGAAAGGCAGTGAAGAACTCTTCTCTCCCAACCGCAAAACCTTTGAAGAGTTGCATCACTCATTGTCCAAAGCAATAATTACCAGCTTTTTACGTGTTTTATTGGCAGTAGTAAAAAATCATTTGAATTAACATTTTACTTAATTTTCTCCTTTTGATTGCAATAATATTTAGGTTTGTTTAAATTATAGATACTTTCTTGATCTGAATGTACCTAATTAATTTTTTTCCATAGAAACTTAACTTCATGGAATGTGATTTTGGCATACAAGTAGTGAAGTAAACCCCACATTCAGCAAGAATTTACTGTAGCTATTTGATTTTTTTATGTTTGATATTAGCATATGCAATTACAAATATAGTAGCTGAAATAAAATCTCCCTTTCGTATTTTTGCCATAGCATTAATTACAATGAGAAATATTACTTTGCAAATGTAGTTGATAGATAAATATTTATTGAGATTTGACATCTCTTTTGAACTTTTTGATTTAATGTGACCCTGGATTATTATATACTTTAAATTAGAAGAGGTAATATGGTTTGATAAACTTATTGCAAGTGAAAGTTAATATATCTTTATTTTTTAAGGATGGCCACGAGATAACCGGCAATACTCATCTGGGCAAAATCAATATCCACCTAACCAGAGAGAGAATTGGGAGATCTCAAGGCATGGAGAAAATGCACCTCAGCCAGGAGGCCCTGGTTGGTCTAGATATGGTGGTCCACAGTCAGAGCCATATCCTCATCATATGGGTCCATCAATGGGGCCGAAAATGATCAATCGTGGCTATGTTACCCCAAATAAAATGGCTGTATGTATCTTTCTTAAACAAAGAAATTAACCGTATATTCTTATATATATATATATATATATATAAAGTCTGTAAATATCTTGATATTTGGCAATAGCTGCAATGTATTGGAGGTGGTGACATATTAAGAACTTTGTAAAAGATTTTCTGTATAGATACCAAAATGACGATTACAGATAGGAAAGAAGACATAATTGTATTTCTTGATAAAGGAAAGCTTTGAGACGAATAATAGGTTCACCCATTATCATGGTTACGATATGTACCCAGTCTTCAAAATTTCTTTGAAATTTACACCTTTGACAGTGGACGAAGCTGAGAGATGAGCAGCACATGTTAATGGCAGCGAGCAAAGTGGGAAAGGTTGAGAAGTAAGTGTGCATTCGGGGAGAATCAAAAGATATCTTGGTCTGTGGTCGTGTAAGACCTGCAGGCTTACATAGGAAAGCATGAAAGAGTTTAATTTTGAAAAGATGCAGTCCAGAAAGTTTTAAATAATTGCTATTTTTAGAACCGAAAAAAGAGGTACACAAATTAAAATGAAGCATTAAGGCTATTGCTGATTTTAAGTTAAAATTTTGATTTACATATTTTTTATCTTAGTTATTTTATCTTACATGTCTATTCACACACACACACACACACACATATATATATATATATATATATATATATATATATACTCGCACACTTTCTAAGGGTAATTAGTTTTATGTTAAGAAGCAGTACTGTACAATGGCATGAAAAATACATATAATTTGTTTTGCTTCATTGAACTGAACTTTAGAAGCAGATATCAGAATTATCCTTCTGCGTCTGCGAGTACAAGTTATTAAATGTCACAAATGAAGTTTAGCATTAGTTTTATATTTTAAAATCACGTAGAAATAATTTTTTAAAGGAAGTTAGCAGATTTACTTCCTTTGAACATACCAGACATTAGAAAAATTTCAAAAACTATCATTCTTGTGTGCATATTCTGTTTGAAATTTTGATAGGCAAAACTGACATATTTATTATAGATTGGTGTATTTTACTTTTTTTATTTTTGAGAGTGATTTGATTGTTTTCTAGTTATTTGCATTTTGTACTTACTTGTATTTTTCTATTTCAGCCTCATAGTGGAGTTGGACCCCCACCTCAATATTCTACACCTTCTCAAAGAAAGGAAGTTATTTTCCCTCCTGATGCTGTTGAAGCTGTAACACCCCTAATCACCAAACGGCGCAGGCTTCTTGCTAAAGACATTATTCCAATTGATGCTTGGAGAATTATGATGGCCCTGAAATCTGGACTTTTAGGGGAGAGTACGTGGGCTTTGGATGTGCTAACTATTCTAGTTCATGATGATGCTACCGTCCTATATTTTGGACTTAGTCATCTTCCAGGGCTATTAGAAGTTCTGATGGATCACTACAGAAGATGTCTTAACCTTATATTTGATTTAGTGGGAGATTTAGAAGTAGGTTTTATGCAAGGTTTTGCTGATGGAGCAACCAAAGAGCGCAGCAAAAAGTGGTATGAACTCGATTGTGATCTGCCAGAGTCTGATTCCACAGGAATATCTACTTCAGATACTTTAAGTGATGATAAAACAATGCTTCTAGACTCTGTTAACTATACCTATAAAACACGGTGTAAAAAGTTAGTGAGGACTCAAGAGGAAGAAGCATTGTTTCTTTTTGATCCCGATAAAAAGTGGGATGTACACGAGGGCTTCATCAGTGGCAGCAGCCATTGGCAACATGGTGGGGGAGAATATACAGGCTATATACAAACGCATTTCGAGAACACTGAAAGACGTGTTCGCTTTGTTAGAGTCATGAAGAGCTCTGTAAAAAATAAATCCAAAGACTGTGAAGCAATTACTGCTATACAGAAAGACTCAAAGAAGCTTAAAGACAATATTAACTGTTGTAAAAAAGAATCTATCGAAGAAGAAGATACTGAAGAGGAAGAAAGTAATGTAACTCCTGTAAATTCACCAAAACCCTGTACTAATGAGAATAATTCTGAAACAAAAGTGCAGAAAAGTGTAGAATCTAAACTTAAAGAAAGTGAGAAAGATGCAATGATTGTAGATAGTGATTCTTTGTCAAATAAACCAATTGAAAACTGTGATGGACTGCCAACAAAAGAAAGTGAAAATCTGAACTCAAATATAAATTTAAAAAGTGAGACCGAAGTTAATCAAGAAAAACCAGTTGAGGAGGAGCCTAAAAGTGATTTTCCTAAGATACGACCTGTTTCGCCAACTCGTAAACGTCGAGCCGTAGAAGATCTAGAAGACGAGTCGTATAATAGAGATGAACCTTCCTTGTGTACTACCAGTGATGCTCAAGATTCTTTAGCTCGCCGGTGCATTTCAGTATCGTCCATTCTAAGGAACCTCTCTTTTGTGCCTGGAAATGACACTGAAATGTCTAAGCATGCCGGTTTCTTACTTGTAATGGGAAGACTACTTCTTTTGCATCATGTGCATTCTCCTCGTAAACCACCCCAACGTCATTACGACCGTGAAGAAGAAAGTGAAAACTCTTCAGTTGCAGATTCTTGCAGCAGCTTAAATAGTGAACATGAGTGGTGGTGGGATATGTTGCACATCATACGAGAAAACACTTTAGTCACTCTAGCAAACATTGCTGGTCAACTTGACTTGGCTCCTTTTCCTGAAGAGATTAGCTTCCCAATACTTGATGGTCTAATGCACTGGGTCACTTGTCCTTCCTCATATGCCCAAGATCCACTCCCAACCCAGCCATCACACTCCGTCCTTTCACCACAGCGTCTCTCTCTTGAAGCTCTGAGCAAGTTATCTGTTCTCGAAAGTAATGTTGACTTAATGATGGCTACACCACCTTGGGAAAGAATTGATCGGTTTTTCTCCCTCCTTTCTAAATGGTTAAGTAGAAATGAAGATCAAGTATTACGAGAGTTTTCTGTTGTTTTATTATCCAATTTGTCCCAAGCAGATAGTAGTATGGCAAGAGCCATAGCCCTGCAAGGTACCTGCATACCTCTTTTAATAACGTTTGTGGAACAAGCAGAACAAAGTGCTTTGCAGGTCGCTAACGCACAGGGAATCAATGCTCTCAGGGAAAATCCTGAGCTTATGGGTACTACTTTGGACATGGTTCGGCGTGCTGCTGGCACTCTCCGTTGTTTAGCTCGTGTTCCGAGCAATAGAACTTTGTTTTTACAACATCAACAAAGATTACTGGCTCTTGTAATGTCCCAGATCCTCGATCAAGGAGTAGCATCTATTATTGCAGATGTTCTGTTCGAGTGTTCTCAAGAATATTCCGATGATGCACCTAGTTTAACGAATGGTGAAAAAGTGTTATCTCCTACAGCTGCAGAGACAGCAACATAGTAACTAGCATTAAGTTTTACATTGCATACATTTTTAATTATATGGAGATATCTCCTGCCAATAGAAATCCACCTGCAAGTTGGTCACACTCCAAGCAGACATGCAAACAGTGTTTTGCAAAAAATACAGATGCCTTCTGACCAGCAACAGAGCATGTTTTGTGAATTTTACATCTTGTTCTAGAGCCTTGCTTGGAAACTACAGCAGTGCATCATTGTCAATATTTATTCAAAAATTGAGCAGGATTATGTCTGTGTTTGTGTTATGTCATGTTCAGGTTCATTAGGTTATTTAGAGTCTCATGCCAGATACCTGCAATTGCAGAGACTCGGAACTAGCTGGCACAATGTCATTCATTGTATACAGTCACGTAAGGAAGTTTCTTATTAGTGATTTAAAAAATGTGTACGTATGCTTGTGAATGTTCATCTTTGTACAGCTGCTACACAATGCATCAGCAAAGAAAAACTTTGTAGATATATCACTGTAATTTTAATCCCCATTACCTCATGGTGGGTACATCACTTGTGTTATATTAGGTAAAGACTAGTGATCGATTATCCTTGTTTTCCACCCAAAAAGGACCTAAATTTAGGAAGTGAATGGCCAGCTTCGCATGCTCGGTAATTGTACAGCATAGACAAAGCACAAGTAATAAAAACCCTTGTCAAGAAAATCCATGGACGAGCCCATGTTGTGACTTTTCATCTTGAATCTTTATTACTGAAAAGCACTTTAGAACTCAAATTTATTATATTACAGCTGTTGGAACAGATTTTCGGGTAACTTGTTCCAGATACTGGCCAGTTCGCCTAGATTGTTTTCAGCTGATCTGAAACTGTTTATAAGGGTTACAGTCCAGGATTTCTGTCAGCTCTTTGATATTGGTATATTTAAGAGTGCAAGAGCTTTATACTATGTATATGTCTGATGATCATCATTGAATAAATGTACAGAAAAACTGCTCATGCTTTTTTTATTATTTATTTATAGTTTCACATTGACGATTCCTAAATGTCAATTTATCTCTTTAGATATTATAAAAGACTCTCTAAATAATTATGTTTGTCAAATATTATACATACACAGTATTATAAATTTAAATAATAGTCCACTTTATACATTTTTATTTGAACTTTCTATGAATAAATCAAATAAACAGAAATATAATCTTGACAAATTATGTCAAGGGACAATAATGTTGGATCAAACATTATTTCTTTATATGCATTATCAGTCTTATTACTAACAAGAACCCTTGTCAAAAAAATCTGATGTGGACACTACATGACCTTCCTTGTATGGCCTATTATACATTTTTTTGCTACATTTTATTTAAACTTATTTCCTTTAAGTAACCAATCCTTGAAAGCAGGTTAAAAATGGCATCAAAAACTGCAAACTTTGAAGTAAATATGCCTATCACTTTTTTGTTGTATGGGAGTCGAAATAATATTATTTTTTATGATAAGCATAAAACTTACCCAAATAAAAGTATAGAAACAAAGAGACCACATTAAAAGTTAAATTTCATAATTTGTCCAAAATTTTTTAAATTGACATTGCCACAACATGAATATTTTCGTCATTTAAAATGCTTCTGTAATTGGAAGCATACGACTACAACAAACAATTGTGAAAATCGGTACTGCTGTGATTGCAATAAGAAAGGGAGGTGCACAATTAGATGTTATAGCAGTCTCGTATACACGATTTCAACGTTATGCATGTAATCGTTTTTGAGTGATGCGAGACTCGTGTACATAGAGATGTCATGAAAAACTCTATTTTACAATCAGTTGTAGAATAAAGAGTTTATTATTTTGTTGGTACGTTTACCAAAGTGTTTGAATTTTCTCTGAACCAGCAAAGGGTGATTTCAAATTCAGCTGGGCTATTTTTATAGTTTTCTTTTCCATCGAAAATAAATGTGTTATAGTTATTGTACAATGGCTCGCATTTGTTTTCGGGCACTTGTATTTTTGAAATTTACTTGAATAAATCTTGTATTAAATGTTAAAACATAGACTTCCGATTTTTTAGAACATCCTGTTTAGAATTTAATTTTTTCCCCAGTAAAAAATTTTGTAAGGCACGAAATAAGTAAAAATCACTTGGCAATATCTGGGAAGTGAGCAGGATGTGGCAAAAGCTCTCAATTAAATTCACTACTTTTTTGCAGCGTTGTTCGAGCCGGTCTAGCTTTATCATATTGAAATAACATTTTCTTGATGTCGTGGGTGTTTTTTGATCGATTCTGAGTTTAGACGGCAAAGTTGTGCACTGTAAACTTCTAAATTAATGTTGATTTTTCACAATCCTGAACGGGTCATCATCATGTGCTGCTTTTCCAATTTTAAATTTTTTAACCATTTCTGGCAGTTCTACATAAATATGTGTTCACTATTACATTATTAATTTTTATCGCTGCAAACCCTGGCAGATTCACCACAAAAAAAAAAAATGTAGCACAAGCATTTTTGTACTGATTTTTATATCATCGCTGTGTGCTAAATGCATTCGATATTTACGAAAGTGGTGATGACTGAATATATTTGTAAATGATGACAAGTTTCAACAGGTTCAAATTTGTTTTGTTTTAGTATATGCATTAAAGTGAATTCCACGCATACTCTTAATGCACATGAACTTATGGACTGACCCGATATATAAGTACTCTTAATGAATACCTGAAATTGTCAGCAAGAAAACTTAAAATGCAAATTACATTCAAGTTCTATCAGGATAACAATTCTAAACATACAGTCCTAAATGTTTGGTTGTGGTTATAAACAACAGTTCTGAATTTATCAAGACATCTTATTCTTCTGGCTCAAATCCTATTGAACATGTATGGAATGAGTTGGAGAAAAGAATAAATAAGCATGATGTTCCTTCAAAAGGTCTATTAAAAGCAGTTCGTATGAAAAAATGGAACAATCTTACTCAAGAAAAAAAAAATTAGTTAAATCCTTGCCAAGGCACATGAAATGTATATTAGCTATGGGAAAACCAACAAAAATTGACTGCCCCATTATTTTCATATTTTGATTAAATATAAATTTTATTCAAAGTGCCCGAATACTTATGCAAGTTAATTTTCAGAATGTTTTGAATAATTTGTTTACCAAAAACCTTTTGAATATTTTTTTTTTTTTTTTTCAAAAAAGCTGGTTCTTAAATAGATGAACAGTAGTATATACAAAAGAAAAATAGTTGTTTTGCTGATATTAATAACTGATATTTGCAAATAAAAATACAAATTAAAAGTGCCTGAAAAAAACATGAGATGCTGTAGTTAGTTAACAGAGTTCTGTTAATATTTTTACATATATAATAATTTTATATTAATTACAAAAATACAGTTATTAGGTATTTATGTTATATACTTAAAATCTATGCTTTATTATAAATCTAATTATCAGCAATGTATGTTACATTTTACAATTTTCTCTATTTTTCATTTTTAGTGCCATTTTTTAATCGCTTTCTTCTATTAAAGCTTTCCAGCTTATTATTACAACTTATTTAAAAAATAAGCCCTGAAAAATTGCCCTGAAAGCATTGAAATGTTTCAAATTATTATATGCATTGTGATATCAATGGAGATCTGTTGGATACTAATCATATCTGCTTTGGCTTTTGATTGAAGTTACATGTCTGCAAGAAAGATGTTTGGAGATATGTCTCATGTGCATTAGTTTTAAGGAAGATCACTTTAAAGTTTCAGATGTTTATGTACAGGGAAGGTATTATTCAAATAATAAAAAAGACATAACTAAGAAGTCAAGCTTAAGATTTTATTTATTAAAACCGAGGACTAGTTTGTTATGCCAAACTGTGAAGACACTCTTTTCCTCCAGAAAAATCAATGGCAATTTGAGCCTTATTAGCCTTGCATTATTGTCCATAAATACAAAGTCCATTCTAAGAGCTCTCAGAAGATTGATTCTGAGATTCAAAAACCTGATCACTATAATGTTGTGCTGAATGGTACTCTCATCAGAGGCATGAAGTAGAGTGCATCTGTCCAACATGATGTCTTTCTACACAAGAATTTCCTCTAAAGTAGTCAATTTCCCTTATGCTTGAAATGACAGTAAGGCCCAGGTTTTCTCCAGATAAAGACCTCTAGATTGAATCTCGACTATCATTGAAGGGGAGAAGACAAGGCCCAAGTTTTGCTGCATCTGAGAATAGTATGCATAGCTTTCACTAAGCTGTCTTTTGCGATCTGTTAAGGACACATACTACTGGACAACAGGCGTAAAAGGCCTGCTGTGCTAGGCTCCTGTATAAAGATTTTCATAAAAATTGCTATCCCAGACACTGGACAGTAGAAAGTTCCTTTATAAGTGTTGTTGCTCTTTGATAGAATTGGACGGGACTCTTGTCATGATACACGAGTAAAAAAAAAGGCACAGTTCTATATCTCCTATTCTACCTGGCCAATTAACGAAATTCAGCTTGAGGTTTTTTATGTCACAAAAGGACAACTTTACATACATAATATATTAAATTAAGGTAATGCGTTAAAATGGACTTCCAGAACTTAATTCCAGTGCTAATGCAGCTGAGATTGTTAATCAAAGTATTTAGATAAATGCATTAAAACTTTCCAGGATTATTTTATAAAAACATGCTTAAAATGTAATACTATTGTGAGAAACCCAACTTCTAAAAGCTTATAAGACCAAAAATTACCGCTGGTGATGTTTTAAAAGGAAACACATAAAAATGAAATGTATGAAATAAAAATAAAATAAGTTGTGTAGCTAATTGAACAACTTCAAATTTGACCCCTCAGGAAGGAGAAATACACCCTGAAAAGCCTCTACAAGACTACCCTGTACAAGTCTTCCGTTTAATTACGTTTTGTATTTGCATCAAAACAGGAAGTTGCATCCGTGTAAATTCTGCAGCATTTCTATTTTATAATTTTCACTGATTACTTAATTACGATACTGTGGATATACAATAAAACTTCAATTAGTCGAAATTTGTTAAGGAATGGTTTTCAGGACTAAGAATTCTAAGGTAAGTCAAAGTGAATATAGAAAGCTATTATTCGAAATTTATACCAAACCAAAATCGAATTTCGTAATATTCGGGGTTTTTAGGGGTATTTCTCTTCAGTTTTGGCTCATTGAAATTTGCCTATACGTATCCTGTACATATATATGTAAGATGTAATAAAATACGACGGCTACGCTAAGAAATGATTGGCAACTTCAAAACTAACTATTCTAAATTTGGTGTTCTGCCCCCCCCCCAAGTTCGAGATATTTCTAAATTACATAACACTGCTCGTAAAAAGGAATTAAAACCTACAATTAACCAATCGTAGCTTTGTTATACTTATGCACTTAGTACAAACACTGCTTCACAAACAACTACGTCATTCCTTTTCCTAACTTCTGCCATGCAAACTTCTCGCATGCCTTCCTTTGTTCTTACGCATAACTTAACGTGTATATAAAAATTATTGTAATTGCTTATGATAAAAAAAAGTATATTGTCAATAAAGAAATGATTTTTATGTGAATAAAAATAAAGACGGTGATTCGCCGAAATTAATTTTGTCAGCATCTTCCTGCCTTTTCCATTTAGTCATCATAACTACGCTTTTAAAATATCACATATATATATACCGCGTAGTTCGGCTTAACTCAGTGCTGACCCCGCTACAGTACGGTTAGTAATTTGAGTAATGCATTTAACTCAGTACTGATTTATTCACTATTGTGCGGAGCGGCAAGTTTTTTTCGCCAGAATAATATAGCCTAAATGTTTCCGCTAAAGTACGTATTGCCAGAATGGAGGGTCATGCCGAGAAACGTGGCAGACTCACAAAGCGAACTTACCCTCAGGTCAACGAGAGCCATATTGCATGATCACTTGTCATTCTCACTATCTGATTCGCTCTTTTTTTAATTTTTATTTATAATTCATTCTCAAACACAT